TCCCTCCCTCCTCCCTCCCTCCCTCCTCCCTCCACCCACCACCACCTCCTCCTCCTCCACGACCACGATCTCTGGATCTAGAGCGACGTTCACGGGACCTTGACCTAGATCTATGCCTGTTAAACAAATAAAAATAAGCAATCTGTAACTACTTCTCATTGTCCTGTCCACAAACTAATATATAAGGAATAAGTGCAAAATATTAAATATAATTCAAGTATTCTACATAATATAATTTGCATCATTACATAACTACATAAATGAAGGCTGTTTACTTGTATTAATAATTTGAAGAGATCAATGATCTTTTGCCAAGAAATAACTATCCTCTAATTCAGCACATGTTTTGAATAGATATTTTGTCTGAAGCTATAAATAGTGTTATTAGAATTGATCATGACAGCCCTAGTCATTAGTACTTATATTCAGCAGTTACACCAAGGCAGCATTAACAAATGTTAGTATTTTGCTTTAAAGAATACTCAGAAATAAATCTAATGGAGTTGAAATGAGATATAACTGCTATAGCAATAGTATTACATCTTAGGCCCCTTGCTTTTCCCCAATATCCCTTATGGAATTTAAAAAAATCTTTAAATTAATATGCTGCTGAATCTGTTAGACTCCCTGGCTTACAACAGAATTAAATGACAAGTGAAAATGTCCATTGTAAAATACATTTGTCTAAATTAATGAAAAACCACAAAACATAATCTAATATGTTCTTTTTATAGGCAGCCTAGAAATTTGATAAATACATAAAACCAAATACATTCTTATGAAAATCCTGTTCCAGATGGCACACATTCACTTCCCAATAGTCTTCACTATGTTCTGGAAGGCCACCGAGGGCCATTCTAGCTTTTCCAAAGTACGGGCCCCATAATTGAAAAGTAGTGCCTTCTGGTTTCAGCCTCCTTTACGTCATGGAACTGGAGTACTACAAGAAGCTTCTTCTAGATTGGCTGATTGTGGTGTAGAAGCACTAAACTTTTACTGTATTACAAAATCAACAACATCCATTTAACCCATGGCAGCAATCTGATTACACATGCAAACTGCCTGTAATATATCTACTCTCATCTACATACATATCTGGCATATATTATCAAACTCAGGCTGGGTAAGGATGTGGGGGGGTTTCCCCTATCTGAAATTGGCCCTGGCTTCTGGTGCTACGCTGTCCATGACTACTACATAAGAGACAGATACTGGCAATAATCCTTTGGGAGACTGACGGACATCACATGCTCTGTACCACAGGTTAATAAAATGAGAGGCCTCATCTGTGAAAGTAGACTCAATGGTAAGCTAGGGGTG